AAAAAGACAAATTTTAAAAATATGTTCATCAAAAGACACCATCAGCAGAGTTAAAAGACAACCCACAGAATGGGAGAAAATATTTGCAAATCATATATCAGATAAGGGATTACTATCCAGAATATATGGAGCACTCCTAAAACTCACCAATAAGAAAACAGACAACCTGATTCAAAAATGAGAAGATCTACAAATGGCCAATAAGTACATGAAAAGATGCTCAATATCACTAATCATTAGAGAAATATAAATCAAAACTACAAAGAGATACCACCTCACACCCATTAGGATGGCTACTGTCAAAACTAAAACAGAAAATAATGAGTGTTGGTGAGTTTGTGGAGAAACTGGAACCCTTGTGCACTGTTGGGAATGTAAAAATGGTACAGCTGCTGTGGAAAACAATAGGGCAGTTCCTCAAAAAATTAAACAGAATTACCATATGATCCAGCAACTCGACTTCTGGTTGTATACACAAAAGAACTGAAATGAGGTCTTAAAGAGAACATCAATCGTATTAGGGTTCTCCAATGAAACAGATCCAAGAGTGTATATACACAATGTATATATGTATATCCCAATGGTAAAAAGTACAGGTTCTGACTCAGAGGACAGAATCAAGACTGCTGATGTCCCAGTTCAAACAGGGAAAGTGAATTTGCTCTTCCTCTGTCTTTTTGCTCTACTCAGGACCTCAGTGGAATGGATAATGCCCACACACATCGGAGACAGTGATCTTCTTTACTCAGTCTACAAATTCAAATGCTACTCTTTTCTGGAAACATCATCACAGACATACCCAGAAATACTGATTTACCATGTATCTGGACATCTCTTAGCCCAGTCAAGTTGACATGTAATGTTAACCATGATCTTCATGTTTATAAGCAGCATTATTCACAATAGCTAAAATGTGGAAGTACTGCAAGTGTCTATCAACAGATGATCAAATTGTGGTATATACACACAAAGCATTAAGAAAGAAGGAAATTTTGATACATGCTACAACATGGGTGAAACCTGAGTATATTATGCTAAGTGAAATAAGCCAGTCACAAAAAAACAAATGCTATATGATTCTACTTATATTGGGTACTTAGTCAAAATCATATGGAAAGTAGAATGGTGGATGCCAGAGACGGGAAGGTGTGAGTTATTGTTTACTGTTTATACAGTTTCAGTTTGCAACATAAAATTAAATCTATAGGTGGATGGGAGCACATTACACATTTCTTTTTTTGTTTTTTGAGATGGGATCTTACTCCGTTGTCTAGGCTGGGGTGCAGTTTTTGCGATCATAGCTCACTGCAGCCTCAACTGCCTGGGCTCAAATGATCCTCCCACCCCAGGCACCAAAGTGTCTAAGACCACAGGTGCACACCACCACACCTGGGTAATTATTGTTATTATTATTATTATTATTTGTAGAGGCCAGGTATTGCTATGTTGCCTAGGCTTGTGATGAACTCCTGGGCTCAAGTGATCCTCCTGCCCTGGCTTCTCAAACTGCTGGGGTTACAGATGTCTGCCACCACACCTGGCCAGAATGTATTTAATACTACTTAACTGTACACTTAAACATGGTTAGGCTGGACATGTTGCCTCACACCTATAATCCAAGCACTTTGGGAGGCCAAAGAGGGTGGCGTCCTTAGTAACATGGTGAAACCCCGTCCCTACAAAAAAATTAGCTGGGCATGGTAGCGTGCACCTGTAGACCCAGCTCCTCTGGGAGCTGAAGTGGGAGGATCGTTTGAACCCGGGAGGTGGATGTCGCCACTGCACTCCTGCCTGGATGACAGAGTGAGACCCTGTCTCAAAAAAAAAGGTTAAGATAATAAATGTTATCTGTATTTTACTGCAATTTTTAAAATTGAAAAAAATCCACATGGGTCACCAATTTACCAATTTAGCCATTTTCACCATTTTTAGATTGCATTTTCTTTTTCTATCTCAGCACTCCCACTAAAGGAAAAGCAAAATTTCTTACAAGAATAAATGATTGTCCAGTGTGTCTGATCCTGAAAGGAACAATGAGACTTTTGTTATTCCACCACAAGGTTGAGAAAGAAATAACCAAGTGATAAATGCCCAGACCCCTTATTCTTTTCACATCCTGGTAATCTGAGGCATGGTGTGGCTTTTACTCCAAGCGTATGAATACTTACAATCAGAAGCTGCCTCTCCTTTCCCTTGCTTTATCACTATTGTTGTCATGTATGACAAGGGAGGGAGTGTCTCACTGGATGATATGTGGGGTTCTTTTCTTCAGCGAGCATTCACTTGTGCTTCACATCTACCACTTTTATTTTTTTTTTATTTTTTTTATTTTTTATTTTTTATTTGATTATAGGTTTTGGGGTACATGAGCAGAGCATGCGAGACAGTTGCGTAGGTACACACATGGCAGTGTGCTTTGCTTTTCTTCTCCCCTTCACCCACATTTGGCATTTCTCCCCAGGCTATCCCTCCCTACCTCCCCCTCCCACTGGCCCTCCCCTTTTCCCCCCAATAGACCCCACTGTTTAGTACTCCCCTTTCTGTGTCCATGTGTTCTCATTTTTCATCACCCACCTATGAGTGAGAATATGCGGTGTTTCATTTTCTGTTCTTGTGTCAGTTTGCTGAGGATGATGTTCTCCAGATTCATCCATGTCCCTACAAACGACACGAACTCATCATTTCTGATTGCTGCATAATATTCCATGGTGTATATGTGCCACATTTTTCCAATCCAGTCTATTATCAATGGGCATTTGGGTTGATTCCAGGTCTTTGCTATTGTAAACAGTGCTGCAATGAACATTCGTGTACATGTGTCCTTATAGTAGAACGATTTATAGTCTTTTGGATATATACCCAGTAATGGGATTGCTGGGTCAAATGGAATTTCTATTTCTAAGGCCTTGAGGAATCGCCACACTGTCTTCCACAATGGTTGAACTAATTTACACTCCCACCAACAGTGTAAAAGTGTTCCTTTTTCTCCACATCCTCTCCAGCATCTGTTGTCTCCAGATTTTTTAATGATCGCCATTCTAACTGGCGTGAGATGGTATCTCAGTGTGGTTTTGATTTGCATCTCTCTGATGACCAGTGACGATGAGCATTTTTTCATATGATTGTTGGCCTCATATATGTCTTCTTTCGTAAAGTTTCTGTTTATATCCTTTGCCCACTTTTGAATGGGCTTGTTTGTTTTTTTCCTGTAAATCTGCTTGAGTTCTTTGTAAATTCTGGATATCAGCCCTTTGTCAGATGGGTAGACTGCGAAAATTTTTTCCCATTCTGTTGGTTGCCGATCCACTCTAGTGACTGTTTCTTTTGCCGTGCAGAAGCTGTGGAGTTTCATTAGGTCCCATTTGTCTATTTTGGCTTTTGTTGCCAATGCTTTTGGTGTTTTGGTCATGAAGTCCTTGCCTACTCGTATGTCCTGGATAGTTTTGCCTAGATTTCCTTCTAGGGTTTTTATGGTGCCAGGTCTTATGTTTAAGTCTTTAATCCATCTGGAGTTAATTTTAGTGTAAGGTGTCAGGAAGGGGTCCAGTTTCTGCTTTCTGCACATGGCTAGCCAGTTTTCCCAACACCATTTATTAAACAGGGAATCCTTTCCCCATTGCTTGTTTTTGTCAGGTTTATCAAAGTAATCAAAACAGCATGGTACTGGTACCAAAACAGAGATATAGACCAATGGAACAAAACAGAGGCACCGGAGGCAACACAACATACATACAACTATACATCTACCACTTTTCGAAAGCCCCTGAGAGTCAGTAAGACATGAGATTCAAACAACTGCTTCACATTTTCCATATTTATGTCTGGTGTGTGGCACAGTGGCATGTACTATATAGTTCATAAGTGAATCAATGTACATCTGTGCAGGGCAAATGCTCAGTTTTAGATCTACACATGAAAGCTTTTTTCCAGGGCAAGAGACTTGCTTTCTCCACCTAAGCCTTAATTACCCAAATGGCCATGTGTTGTGCCTTTGGCTTGTTTAAATGACACCATTGGTAAAATCTGATGGGAGATAAAAGTTAAATATCCAGAAGCCTAAAAGTCAGGAAGAGAGGCTCTCTGTGGCACAGAGAAAGCTGCAGAACTGCTCCATGGCGTGCAAAACTCATCAGCACATGAAACTACTGAGTAAAGATGATAGTAACCTTCAACCACTTTGTAATTTCTACCTATTTACTTGGGGCCAATGTCCCTTATTCACCAATATTTGCATTGGTCCTTTTGATTTGTCTTCAGCCTCAGGAGGCCCCCAGACATGCTAAAATGTCAGGCAGGGAGAGAGGAAAAGTTGTGAACCAGCATTGGCTTAAAAGGATTTTGAAAATGGAAGCAAATAATAACATTTTAGGAACATTTATATAAATAATTATATAATTTCTGATTATAGAAAAGCTATAGGAGGCTCAGTAGAACCACTTAGAAGACTGGAAAAGGTATCTATGGAACTTTGGAGACACTGACTACTGGTTCATAAATAAATGAGTAATTGGCAGTATCTGACTGGAGACAAGAATGAGCATTAATGTAGGATGATTCTGAACTACAGCTCCTGGCACTAGTAGGTTTCAGTATACATAGTCTGCTGAAAGGTAATTTTCTCTGTGATACTCCTGGTATCCCTAAGGAGGGTAGTATAATTTCAGGTACATGCTGACAAAATTTGAATACAAGGTTCTTAGGTGAAAGTTACAGTCTATTTTAGACATGAAATTGAAGCATGTAGTCACTATTGCTTTGGCAAAGGATTTTTGGCTAATGCAGTGTATGGGTATTGACTTTATGATTTATATTATCATATGGCACCTAATGTATTAGCTGACTTGTGAAAACAGTGTTTTGGTTTAATGGATGTTAGGGATTTATCTACAACTTCAAATTTGCCTTGTTAATAATAGAAAAGAATAGTATGGAAGCATTACTTCCAGCTGCTTTTTGAAGTGTCCACCAAAATGAATGATTTTTTTCCTTTCTTCACACAGATTTCCTCCTAGAGTGCCAAGATCTTTTCCATTCAACAACTCAGTCATGTACAAAAAGACTGTGTTTGTAGAATTCACAGATCACCTCTTCAACATCGCTAAGCCAAAGCCACCCTGGATGGGTAATAAAAACAACATTGAATGCTAATTATGAAATTGGGTATCTTATTTTCTATCACAGATTCCCCAATCTTGAGGTTACAGTTAAAAAGGGCAGCTGCCAAAAAGAATGTTTCCCTGACTGCCACCTATAGGGAAATACACTGACTGCATTTTCTGTCTTTTTGCTGGACTGTCTTCCTCTGCTTGGTCTATGCCAACTGCTTACCCCCATTTAGATGTCAAATAAAGTATGTAATAACATGTTAGGATAGGACATATTCTGTCTTAGAATTGTTTCTGAGGATTACAGGTGGGACGTACTCCCTTATTCTAAAGAGAGGTATCACTCTATCGATTTAGAACTTGTTCAGGTAGCAGTGCAAAATTGGTTCTGCAACACGTAGGCCCTGACTCACCTCCAGCCTTGAACTTATGAAAGAGTTTAGGTTTGGGTATGACTTTGGTGTTTTATGTGTTGCTTACCCCCTGTGGGGGGAGAGGCCTGTCCCTCATGTCAAGCTATAATGAAGGAGGCTTCAGGAGAACTACTTAGAAGAATTGAAAAGGTACCTATGGAACTTTGGAGACACTGACTACTGCCTGGTTTTTATCTGGAGAAACTTTCAAGGTCAGAGGCCAAAAGGACTTCTGATGGAATAGCAGGGAGAGTGGGCCATAAGCTAACTGCACTGCCATTGTTAAGTATAAGGCCAGGAAAGTCACTGAATGAGACTTGTGTTACAAAGAGTCTACCTGAGAGGTCTTCCTGCCAGGGTTAGGTAACCCCAACAGAAAAAGTGTATGTGGGTTGTAATGCCAGAAGCAGAATCTCAGAGGAGAGACACAAGTGACCAGCATGCCAAGATCAGGTACATATTGGGAGGGAGATCAGGTACATATTGGGTGTTTCCAAATTGGGAGGGAGAGGTCTCCAAAGAACTCATAAGTTCCCTAAGAAAGGAAAGCAGAATTTTGGCATGTGTCACAAATAGGGAGTACTAATGCCACATTATCACTGCTCCTTCCAAGAAAGACTTCATCATTGTGCCTCTTTTTTTAACCCCCATCCCCTTTGTACTTGTTCCTACCTTGGAGAGTCCAGAGGCAGAAAGGTGAATTGTGGAGGAAGATTAGGAGAGGAAGGTGGGAAAGCAGTGACGCTGCCAACAAAATGACCAGATTTCTGGGGCTGTCGGAATGCAGCTGGAGAAGGAAGGGAACTTGCAATTGCAGAAGACATAAAAAATTTGAGATTAGACTGGACAGGACTTGTTATAACTGAAAAATGATACTGTTTGTTAATACCTGAACGTTACTGGAAAATATTTGGGCTCAGCCAAAGTGCAAGAAAAGAGATATCTCATATAATGTAATTAAAACCAGTGGTCCAAGAAAAATAAGGCTATTTTATGTTTTTATCCCACTAAATCCAGTTCATTCGACAAACTGTTTATAGGCATTTTAGACTTAGTGTATTCATAAAACAAAGCTCTTAATTTTCCTCTCTTTTTTTTGTCTTTCTAGCATCATATCTATGACCAAGTCCTATTGACTGTTCCTGCAAAACAAGTTCCACGTCTTCTTCTTCTACTTCTTGTAACATCCAAATTCCTACATGTTATGTTTCCTTTGTAACCATATTCTCTGTTACTCCCTGCTCATTCACTGTGCTTCAGCCACATTTTACTCAACTATACCAGGCTTATTTCTGCCTCTGGACTTTTGCATTTGTTTTATTTGCTTTCAGTGCCCTTCCACTAGATCTTTGAAAATCTTCCTGCATTCTCATTAGTCAGATCTCTACTCAAATATCACCTCCTCACAGAGGCCCTTCCTGATCACTACACTGAAAGTATCCTCTACCTGCCTCATCATTTTCTAGCACACCACCCTCTTTTATAATATTTATAACAACTTGAAATGTTCTTATTTATTTCTTTATTATGTTTTAAGAATCTCCATGATCTGTCTTGTTTGCTACTGCACGTCCAATACATAAGACAATTCCTAGAATATAGTAGAAACTCTAGTTGAATGAATGAATGAATTGAATTATTGGCAGAAATCTTTCCTCAGAGCAACCAGGAGGTTGAGCTGGTGTTGGCAACAAGCAAATACTATTTTTTATCAATCATTACAGAGGCATGCTTCTCCACTGTGACTTTGACTCTAGCTTTTGTAATAACAGGTTTTCTGGAGTACTATCCCCAAGTGACCTTTGGTGGACATCTCATTCTTACAGGTCTGCTGGGTCCTACCATTCAGGCTGAGGTTTATGACACAGTGGTCATTACACTTAAGAACATGGCTTCTCATCCTGTGAGTCTTCATGCTGTTGGTGTATCCTACTGGAAAGCTTCTGAAGGTGAGTCAAGTACCCTCCTATTGTCCTGTCATTCTAGGAATAGAAGAGTGAGATGTGTGTCCTTTGTAATGGTGGCACAGCTGGAGGTGATCCATTCTCTTAAATACAAACTTACAGAAAAATAATAATAACAATAATGACTAACATGTATTGAGTTCAAGATTGTACAGCTAGTAAGTGGTGGAATCAGGATTCAAACCTAGCCCCATATAACTCCAGAACTTATACTTTGAACTACTGTGCTACAGTGTAAGCATTCATATAAATAATATCGAATTTGGTTTATGGAACTTAAAACTTCCATGGAGTCAATCAAATATGGCTGGACTCAAGGATTCAAGTGATGCTCTCAGCATTGTGGCCATTTTTCTTCCATCCTTTTCAGCTGGGCTACCCGTTTTGGTTCCCTTCTCAGGCAGGCTTTTCTAATATGATGGCAAAGATAGCTACTGGCAGCTCAAGGCTTATCTTGTTCTTACAGATTGTGGTCCAGGAGTGGGAAGGAAGCCTCTATCTCAGTATTTCTTGATGTTGAGTGGAAGAGTTAGCAAGCAGGAGGAAGCATCAGTCTCGCCCAATCCAATGACAATGGTAGAAGGGCCAAACTGAGAGACCTAGTCACTACAGTGGTCTCTGAGCAAGGACATTGTTTTGTGAAGCCCAATAGAGTTGTACTGTCCCCGAGTTAGTTATTCGGTGCTTGCCGTGAATCTTTATTAGAGATAGACAACTGTATTTTTTTCTACCTCTATGGAAATATCGCTCTGAATTTCCAAATCTCCAAATCTCCAAAATTTCTGCTTTACCTGGGTCACACAGACCTCTTTAATACAAACGAACATGGTCTGGAGATTGATGTGGGCAAGCTAGTATAGAAGTTGCAAGAGAGCAGAGACATTTGTAGAGCTCATTTTAATGTCATTCAAAACCTAGAGCAGTCAATAAAGGGTAGAAATCATAAACTCATCACAACAATGCTCATTTTTAGAAATTGAAAATTCTTTCAACTCTTTTAAGGTCCTAACTGAACATTACACCTGTTTCTTAACAGTTAGTAGAATATAAATATAAATATCTTAAGATAGGGATATCCATTTTATTTATTGCTATATCCTTAGCATATAATATATTGCCTACCCTATAGTGTATACTCAATACAAGAATGAGTGTGTAGTGAACACCAGTCACTTTTTCTTCCTAAAATTAAACATTCTTCACCTGTGTACCCCCTAGGAATTGCTTTTTTGAATGTACTTCAAAGAGAGCCTGCCATTTTCTAATGCCTGTGCCTCCCTAGCCACAGTGATTGATCTAGGGGTGAGCAGTTGACTTAGGTTTCCCACCTCCTTGGCCACAGTTGATCAGTCCAGAGATAAGGACTGCTCCTTCTATACCACTGATCCTACTTCAACCACATAGGTGTATAATCAGAGACAGGAAGCCATGGCAAATCTGGAGGATCTGGACTTGGCTATATCTTAAAGAGTTATATATAATCATAGGTCAACATTGAGGACCTTTTCCAAAGATTGGTGGAGAAAAAAGCGGCCAATACAATTTTATGTTTTTCTTTTCTGCTGACATCAGGAAGAGATAAAAGCTTTAAAATCACAATTATGGGGAGGTAATATTTTTAAATCCAGCTCAAGTTAAACTCATCAGAAAAGGTAACAGGACCCCCAAATGGCCACATCTTATCCGATGAGGAGACACCAACCATAGAGTCTATACTGGACAGTTCAAGTGGTAGCCACAGGCTGTCAGGCACTTGAAGTGTGGTGAGTCCTACCTGCAACATGCTGTAAAATACACACCGGATTTCAAAGGCTAAGTACGAAAAAGACTAAAAATATCTCATTCATCATTTATAAGTACAAGTTGAAATGCTTACATTTGGATATACTAGGTTAAACAAAATACATTAGTAACATAATTTCACCTGTTTCTTTTTACTTTTCTTGATGTGACTACTAGAAAATTTAAAATTACATATGTGGTTTGCATTATGTTTCTATCGAGCAATACTCACCTGTACACTTCCAGTGAAATGTTTAGTGTATGTTGAAGTTGCTGCTCCAGATGTAGTGGCTCATCTCAGATTTGGCCAAGTTCTTCTGTCCAAGAAAAACTAGGTCCAACCCATTCCTGGAGAGGAAGAGTCACTTACATTGGTTAAATCTATTCTCCACCTATTCTACCAACAACCAAGTGGATGGACATAGCTGAAATAAAAATCACACAATCACACTGAATGGTATCTCACCTCAAGTGGGACTTCAGCTTTGCCTGGCCATTCCACTGCTACATTTCCCCTAATCCGTTTACTCTCCCTCTCCCCAAGACAGCCATAATGTGTCACACATTCTTAGCCTCTCATAGAAACTCCAACATGTGCCCCCACCCCTGCCCCCACCACCACCTGAGTCTTGAGTCTTAGGAAAAGGGACGTATTTTTCCTAATGAAATATTTCAAACAGATAGATACAGAAGTTAATATAGCAAACAAACATGTGCCCATTATCTCACTTTGCCAAATCTTAACACTTTGTCGTCTTTGCTTTATTTATTTTATGAAATTAAACATTTTACATACAGTCTGTACCCCTCCATGGGCCTAGCAGGAAAGGGATCTCATTGTCAAAGTTCAAAGCAATTGATCATTGAAAAAATAATGATCACATTAAAAAGAACCCTTATGTAGCTCCAGTGGTGCAATCGGTTAGCATGCAGTACTTATAAAAATACCCCTTATATAATAGAGATACAGATTTAAATACTCATAAATGGAAGGATATCCTGTCTAGGACTGGCTTCAAATAAATCCAGCTGATGTTACAACCATTAGGAAATTGCTGATGTGGAATTTGACATTTGTATGGTGCCAAAATAATATCCCAGAGATTTATTTCTGATTGTAAGTGGAAATCTTAACTTTAGAATGGAGGTATCAGGGTAATCCACAGGTCAATTTTAGTGTCACTAAGGGTGAGATGGCCATATATTATCTGCGTCTGATATGGCACAATATGAGGGACTCAGCATCATCTTTGATATATTTTAGCCAAAAACCTTATTCAACTTGAATCTAATCAGAACTTAGGTATATTCAATAGCATGGGATATTCTACAGGACTACAAGCCAAATTTCTTTCACCAAATGAGTGTCACAAAAAAGGGACTACTCCATACTAAAAGAGACTACCAGATGCAATGTGCAGTCTCAGGTTGGATTCTGATTTGGACTAACTAGCTAGAAAGGATGCCTTTGAGGCAATTAAGAAAATTGGAATATTGCATCGATATTAGGTGATATTAAGAATTATTCTTAACTGGGTCAGGTGTGCTAGTGTCATTTTGTTTATGTGGGAAACTGTGTTTTTTTAAAGTTGACTTCTAAAGTATGTAGGAGTGGACTATCATGAAATTTTTAATGTACATTAAAAGGTATCATCATAAAAAGTGTGTTGAAAGAAAAAAGTGAAAGTAGCAATGCAATGCCAAGAATAAGTTTCTAACATCCACTCATGAAAATATTACATTCTTTATATTAAGCACATGAAAAAGAATGCAAATATATCTTTTTAAAAACTTCTTTGTTTTATTATAATCTTGAACATAATATTTTATAGTTTTTAGCCTAATATTAAGACTCAATAATTACTGAAAGTATATAAGAAAACTAGTGTAAAATTTAAACTTTTCAACACAAACATCCCCATATAGTCATTTATATGCTAACAAAGGGAAGTTACCAAAATTAGCCTGTAGGAATCTCCTTTTCCTTGGAGAATTTTACACAAGTTGAATGTTACACATTATTTTTCACTGGATACAAGATCAATGTGATCTGCTTTATTAAAAAGAGAGATTAAACCAATTTAAGATTCATGTCAAATTCCACCTCCTTCATGAAGCGTTACTGAATATTTCCACATGGCATTATAATTATATCTTTATATGTCTGTGTCCTCCACCAAACATAGTGTCATCCCTCTAGGAAAGAACCAAGTTTAAGAAATTTTCTTAAATCTCTCTTTCTTACCCTTTCCTGACCCTCATTAGTGCCTACCAATGCGTCTGTGACAAAGTACATATCAAAAGTATATTTGTTGTTGAATTAGGCAAAAAGATGCAATAATGGAGGCAATTTTATTGTTTAACAGAATGTGGAGTTCTCCCCACTTGTGGCTGCTGCTTGTTAGTTTTTCAAATTAAGATGCAAAAAGTCTGTGTAGAATCTGTTGGTGACAATAAACTTGACATGTTTCTTTGAGTGGACAATGGGTATAGAAAGGACAATCTTATTTCTTCTCGCTATAGGAGCTGAATATGATGATCAGACCACTCAGAGGGAGAAAGAAGATGATAAAGTCTTTCCTGGTGGGAGCCATACATATGTCTGGCATGTCCTGAAAGAGAATGGTCCAATGGCTTCTGACCCACTGTGCCTTACCTACTCATATCTTTCTCACGTGGACCTGGTGAAAGACTTGAATTCAGGCCTCATTGGAGCCCTGTTAGTATGTAGAGAAGGTAAGTGTATGAAAGGGTAGGATTGAGATGAAATAAGCAGAGAAGTACAATCAACCGAATCTATCTCTAACAGCTAGCATTTGTATTCCTTCACCTGAAAAAGCCGTCTTTAGTATCATGCTCATGGAAAGAATAATCCAGTTTCTGAGAGAAGCAGATATGCATTCTATATAACCACAATAAACTCTAAGCTGGGATTAGAAGCAACTGAGTTCCAGAATTAAATCTCTCCTCTCAAAGCATTGCTATTTTCCTCTTCGAATCTGTGGACTTTATCAGTAGTGATTTCTACTATCCTCTGCTTTTGCAAACCGTGCTAAGTTCCTTGAAAGCTTCATGGAGGTGAACATATCCAAGGGTGTGATCAATGGCATATAGACTAGTTCAGGTGGTTAGTTTGTCATCTGTAAACCAAAAGCATATAAAAATCTAAGAAAAGTCAGCATTTATTTATATATGTTATTGAAAATTAATTTAGATTAAATTAATATATTCTAAAAATTTTAAACTTGTTTTTAATTTATATTTTAGCATAAAGTAAATTATGGAAGTAAATTTTACATAATTTGTTTTTTTTGTTTGTTTATTCTTTTTTTTTTTTTTGGAGACAAAGTCTCACTCTGTCGCCCATACTGGGGTGCAGTGGTGCAATCTCCGCTCACTGCAAACTCTGCCTCCTGGGTTCAGGCAATTCTTCTGCTTCAGCCTCCCAAGTAGCTGGGATTACAGGCACACGCCACCATACCCTGCTAGTTTTTTGGGGGTTTTTTTGTATTTTTAGTAGAGACAGGATTTCACCATATTGACCAGGCTGGTCTCGAACTCCTGACCTGGTGATCTGCCCGCCTCAGCCTCCCAAAGTGCTGGGATTATAGGTGTGAATCACTGTGCCCTGCCTTTCATCCTATTTTTTTATGGTGAAATCAGCTTCACTGTACCTTTTTCTTGTTTCAGTTACCTTGTACTGCATAACTTCACTATTTTTTTTTTTTTTTTTTGAGACGGAGTTTCGCTCTTGTTACCCAGGCTGGAGTGCAATGGCGCGATCTCGGCTCACCGCAACCTCCGCCTCCCGGGTTCAGGCAATTCTCCTGCCTCAGCCTCCCGAGTAGCTGGGATTACAGGGGCGCAACACCATGCCCGGCTAATTTTTTGTATTTTTAGTAGAGACGGGGTTTCACCATGTTGACCAGATGGTCTCAATCTCTTGACCTCGTGATCCACCAGCCTCAGCCTCCCAAAGTGCTGGGATTACAGGCTTGAGCCACCGCACCCGGCCATAACTTCACTATTTAGTGGCTTAAAACAACAACAATCATTTATTATCTCTCATGGTTTCTGTGGGTCTCATGGAATTTGGGAGTGTTTTCACTTGATAGTCTGTTTCTCATGAGGCTGTAATCAAACAGTGGCCAGACTGAAACCATCCCAAAGGTGACTTTATTCACATGGTCTCTCTCACATGGGTAGCCAGACTTCTTATATGGTCCTGAAAGAGCCCATTAGAAGCTGTTTCACCTGCTAAGCTAACCTCAGAAATCACTCACATTAACAAACATTTTATGAGTTAGAATGCATCACTAAGGCCAGTCTATAGGGGGAATTCCAGCTTTTGATGGGGAACAGGCAAAGAATTTATTTCTTTTTGGCAAATAATTTATTAACAGGAGTCACCATACTCTTTCTGAATGGTGATGATGAATGTGATTCAAAAAAAGGTGGGAGCAGGGAGCGGAAGATGAGAAAGGTTTGTATTCTATAACAGTTTCACGTGAAAGCATGATTTCTCATGTACTGGGTTCAGTTTCACAGTCATAACTAACGAGAAAGTGCCAAAGCCACAGTGTGTTATTTATGGAGTCAAAAGGCTAACGGAACAATGACATCATCAAAACATTACTGTTTACATAAGACATATAAAGAAATAAGTTAAAAGCCCAAATAACTCTTTGACACAGAGTTGAGTTAGAGTCAACAGAGGTTCTAGTTCCAAGTAAAATGTATAAACGCACCCTTTATTTCCCATTGAACTTAACAATAAAACCTTGACAAAATGCTAAGCCCATATATTTAAAAATTCTAAAAAGCAAATAGAACAAGTATATAGAGAAAAGGCACCAGAATTCAAAGTATTACCCAACTGGTGGGGGATTATACCTTTTTCCCCACTCTCCTATTCCTTAATCTTAATGAAAACATAACTGGAAACTTAGAAGTGAGTACTCTTTTTTAATGCTCAGAGGGCATGAGACGGGAAATCCCCTAGGGTTTTTGTCTTCTTTTCCGCTATTCTCTCCAGCTTCAGTACCAGATTGCTTGTGGCAATGACAGTGGCTGGCAACAGAAGCCTGCAGGAGCAAAAGCGTAGGGAAGGACACATTATTCTTCATTCAGTAGAGCTACGGGTCTAAGACATTGGCGCAAATACACGTTACTTTTCTCTCTTTCTTCTTCCGTTGCTCGGCCTTAGCTATGATGTAGTTGTGGAAGTTGGAAGTTCCTGGTTAGAAAACCAAAAAAGGGAGCTCACAAAACTACAAAGTTTATAGATTTAGAGAATAAAGATCCCAGGAAAGTAAACCCATAAAGTTGTGCATTAACTCCTGGATTCACCCCCAACCCACACATACCTGGATGGAATCCTAATTAGCATGCTGAAGACTGTGAGAACTGAGACTCAAGTACCACACTGACCACTGGGTTGGACTCAATGGCACTGCAAAGGCTTTAAAACTGATCTGACACTGAAACCACAGCTCACAGAATTCCTTAAAACATTTCTGATGGGCTGGGTGCGGTCGCTCACGCCTGTATTCCCAGCACTTTGGGAGGCCAAGGCGGGTGGATCACGAGGTCAAGAGATCGAGACCATCCTGGCCAACATGGAGAAACCCCGTCTCTACTAAAAATACAAAAATTAGCCGGGCGTGGTGGTGAGCACCTGTGATCCCAGATACTCGTGAGGCTGAGGCAGAAGAATCGCTTGAACCCAGGAGGCGGAGGTTGCAGTGAGCCGAGATTGCGCCACTGCACTCCAGCCTGGAGACAGAGCAAAACTCTGTCTCAAAAAAAAAAAAAAAAAATGTCTGATGGTTGAGCACAAAGATAGAACATCGTGAGATAGGTTTTTTAATGTATGGTAGATATAATATATAAAAGAACCATAGCATAACAAGAGGAGGGTAAGGAAAGCTTTATGGTCCATTCAACTTCATTCCAATTCAAATGGTAAAATGTAGATTCTAAGTGCATAGTGAAAAGTTAAGTATGTATTTTGTAATCCCTAGAGCAACCAATAAAAAATAATACAAGGAGATATAATTAAAAAATCACAGTGAACTAATTACAATGGAATATCAGAAATGTTCAAATAACTCAAAAGAAGGCAAGTAAGGAAAAATGAAAATCAGAGAGAAGCAGCAGGAAAATAATAATAAAATTACAGGCTTAAGTCTAAACATATCAATACTTCTTATATTAAGTGCAAATGACTTAAACACACCAATTAAAAACAGAGATTAGCACACTGGATTAAAACACCAATTATATTTTGTTTACAAGAAACTCATTTCAAAAAAAATGATATAGGTAGGTTACAAGCATAAGGATGGAAAAGGACATATGATGTAAACAAGAATACAGATTCTGTAATCAAGATATTGTGGTTCTTCCATAAGGGTACACACAGAGATCAATGGAACAGAATTGAGAGTACAGGAAGAAACCCATATACATATCTATGAGCAGTTGATTTTTGCCAAGGGTGCCAAAACCATTCAATGGGGGAAAGAATAGTCTCTTCAATAAACGATGCTGAAGCAGGTGAATATCTGCATGCAAAATACAGATTGAGTATTCCTTAACTGAAATGCTTGGAACCAAAAATGTTTCCGATTTCAGATAGTGGCATATTTACACATATATAATGAGATAGCTTGGGGATGGAGCTTAAGTCTGAATGTGAAATTCATTTTGGATGTAAGTCCCTAGCCAGTTATGTGATTGGCAAGTATTTTCTCCCATTCTAAGTTTGTTTTTTTCTTCTCTTAATGGTGTCGGACAAAACATGAAAAGATGTTCAACATCATTAACCATTAGGGAAATGCAAATTCAAACAACAGTGATATATCTATTAGAATAGCTAAAATAATAATATAAAATTGCCAAGGATGCTGTCAAGAAATCAGAGCAGGCCGGGCGCGGTGACTCACGCGTGTATTCCCAGCACTTTGGGAGGCCGGGCGCGGTGGCTCACGAGGTCAAGAGATGGAGACCATCCTGGTCAACGAGGTGAAACCCTGTCTCTACTAAAAAATACAAAAATTAGCTGGGCATGGTGGTGCGCGCCTGTAGTCCCAGCTACTCGGGAGGCTTAGGCAGGATAATTGCTTGAACCCAGGAGGCAGACGTTGCAGTGAGCCGAGATTGCGCCTTTGCACTCCAGCCTGGGTAATAAGAGTGAAACTCCGTCTCAAAAAAATAAAAAATAAAATTAATTTTAAAAAAATCAGAGCAGCAGAAAGTCTCATAATGCACAGTGGTATAGCCATCCTGGAAAACAGAATGGCAATCTGTCTATTTGACAGAGAAACACTCTGGCAGTTTCTTATAAAATTAGATGTACACTATAAAGGCATAGCAGGAGGGAGTTCTTTTTGGATATTGAAATGGATCTGTATCTTGATGATGGTGGGGTTTCATGAGCTTATATGTTTGTTAAAAGTTATTGACATATACACCAAAAGAAAAAGAAAAGCTAATTTCACTATATGATAACAGAAAATTTATATTAAAATAATTAAAACATTTTAAGACAGCTTTTTATATATTTTAAATTTGTCTCTAAAGTTTTTTTTTTTTTAATTTTTTATTGGATTTTAGGTTTTGGGGTACATGAGCAGAGCATGCAAGACAGTTGCGTAGGTACACACATGGCAGTGTGCTTTGCTTTTCTTCTCCCCTTCACCCACATTTGGCATTTCTCCCCAGGCTATCCCTCCCCACCTCCCCCTCCCACTGGCCCTCCCCTTTTCCCCCAATAGACCCCAGTGTTTAGTACTCCCCTCTCTGTGTCCATGTGTTCTTATTTTTCATCACCCACCTATTAGTGAGAATATGCGGTGTTTCATTTTCTGTTCTTGTGTCAGTTTGCTGAGGATGAAGACCCTGTGCCATCTTTATCACAAGTATCACACTATAGAGTCTCTAAAGTTTTTAATCCACTACTTGTGATAAAGATGGCACAGGGTCTTCCTGCTTAGCCATTTTTCCATCCTCCACCTCAACCCTGACCTCTGCTGAAACGCAACAGCAAAGATAGGTAAACCATAAATAGAGAAAATTGAATAGGCATGGTCAAGCTGAAAAAGAACGTAAATATATGTGGACCAAAAGCAGAACAGGAACTGTGAGCACTAAAAGGGGTGGAAACCACAGGCCAGCTGAGATCTGGGTCAGGGTGAGAAGAATAAATAGTGCTCCCCACCAGAAGGACCTGGAGCCAGGTGGACGACCAAGAGCCCATATCATAGAGTTGGGCTCCTCTTCACTTGAAAGAGAGCTGAGCACAGCTGCTGCCCACTCTGTTTGCGGCCATGGCTTTGTGGAAATTCGGGTTCCTAGAAGAGGAGAAAGCAAACCCAGTCTTAGAATAGGAACTGAACTAAGTTTTCTCTTGGTTCACTGGGAGAATCTGCAATACCCTCAAGGTTTCCATGGGACAGTATCTCCAAAATTCCATTCCAGGGTATGATTTGCTAGATAGACAATAGTGAACACATCTTTTGCTTAATCAACCAATGATCACAATAGTTCAACAAAGTCAGATTTATTGGCTCATAGCAACAAGAGGCTGTGGACACCTCCCTAAACAAAGGGAAATACTGTATTCAGTGGAGGTTAGATGAGATTTAAATGAAGCAAAGTAGAGTTGTGTGGAAACTTAAAACTAAAAAGTTAACATTGGCATGAAATGTTAAGTGCAGGCAGCCCTTACCTGAAGCTTGAGCTTTAAATTGAGCTGCTTCTTTGTGTCAAAGTAATTTAGGAAAGAATGGGATGCTTCATTCTTATTGCTATTATTTTGAACATTTCTGACAGGCTGTAAATTCAGAGAACAAACAACTCAATTGAGCAACAAATTATTAAAGAAAATAGTTGACATTCAGTGAGTTTGTACAGTGGCAATGTGTCCTTGGGAGAAATAGTGTTGTTAACTCTGCAGTTAGCTTTATCTATGTCTCCTATCCCAGGCTGATGAGTAGCAGCACACATTTTGTTACTTTCTTAGTCCAAGCTAATTTTTATTTCTTTTTTTTTTAAACTTTTACTTTAGGTTCTGGGGTACATGTGCAGCTCATGCAGGGTTGTTGCATAGGTGCATACATAACGAGGTGGTTTGCTGCCTCCATTCCCCCTTCATCTATATCCAGCATTTCTCCCCATTTTATCCCTCCCTACCATACCCACCCCCAGCTGTCCCTCCCCTAGCCCCCCCAACTGACCCCAGTGTTTGATGCTCCTCTCCCTGAGTCCACGTGTTCTCATTGTTCAACACCTGCCTGTGAGTGAGAACATGCAGTGTTTGGTTTTCTGTTCTTGTGTCAGTTTACTGAGAATGATTTGGTACAAGAGAGAAAAAAATGAAAAATGTCATAAACAAAAATCTTTCTACTCAAAATAAGCCTGCAAACAAAAGTTTCCAGTCAAGTTAAAATATATATAATGCAAAGAAAGATACCCAACAAGCTCAATAGTTAAAGCATGAAGCATAATATTCGTTCCATTAAAAACTTTAGCTATTGCTATAGGTGGTATTCACTTAAAATGTGAGTATATATAGAAGCACTGTGGCCTACTGTATAGGTGTTCAATATGGACAATTGTTATTTTACTCAAAACGTTTAATTTACAGTTGCAGAAGTGAAAAAAGTTACAAGAATAATAGAAATTCTCTATATTAATTGCCTATATGCACATTTTTTTCAGAAGCAATGTGTACTATTGCTGTAATTTTTCTTTTTCTCTGTGATGTGTGTGTGTGTGAGGGCTTGTATTTTGTATGTGTTTTTAATCTTTTTTAGTAATTAATTTTTGTGTGTGTTTTACACAAGTAGTGGTCTTCACCAAATTTGAAAAAAAAAAATTCTTTGTTCCAGGTTGTTTTAGAAACACTAGTATAGCAAAGTTAACAAGAGACAAAAGACGACATTTGTTCTTACTCTCAAGTAACTGATGAAGACATGTCTCGTCCTAGTGACAATTTCCTACAGTGGAATTTTAAAAATAGAAGATAAATGCTTTCGCTTCTTTTTCAGGGAGTCTGGCCAAGGAAAGGACACAGACCTTGCACACATTTGTACTACTTTTTGCTGTATTTGATGAAGGTTAGTGAGTCTCGATCTGAATTTTGGATTCCTGAAAGAAATCCTCTGCTACTATTAAGAGGAGGTGATTATAGAAAGGTCATAAACTACATTACTGTTCAGGAATGAAGGAGATGGGGTTGAAAATGAACTCCAAGTAAACAAAATGTAACCTCAGTTCCATTGGAAGCTATGAGGTAAGAAGAGGAGCTGGGTGACAGATTGGTCTCATCCCCCTCTTTAAGACCATCAACAAATACTTTGGATTCTACTTTCTAAATAATTTCTCTTATGTTCCTCCATTATTAAATGGACAACCTTTGGCAAGTTATTTAACCTCTCTGTGTCTCAGTTTCCTCAAATCTAAAATAAAAATAATAGTATGTTTTTCATAGAATTGTTGTGAGGACTGAGTGATTTCACTGAAGTAACTTAGAGTAGGCCCTCAATAGTGTTAGTACTTCCACCTCTTCCTCCTCCTAATGTAATCGTTATGTAATCAATAACAATAACATAATCTTCTTGCCCCTCTTATCCATTTACACTGCCATCTTCTTAATTGAGGCCCTCATTATCTGTGTCATAACTCCCAAAGTATCTGATCTTGTCACTCTAGCCTCTAAAATACTTCAGTTTGCCAGGCACGGTGGCTCATGCCTGTAATCCCAGCACTTTGGGAGGCTGAGGCAGACAGATTGCTTGAGCCCAGGAATTTGAGATGAGCCTGGGCAACAGGGTGAAACCACATCTCTACAAAAAAATTACAAAAATCAGCCGGTCATGGTGGCCGATGGCTGTAGTCCAGCTACTTGGGAGGCTGAGGTGAAAGGATCACTTGAGCTGAGGAGGTAAAGGTTGCAGTGAACTGTGATTGCACCACTACACTCCAGCCTGGGTGATAAAGCCAGACCCTATCTCAAAAAACAAAACAAAACAACAAAACAAAATCGTTCATTTTCCAGGTAAAGTACTTTATCTATTTCCTGGTGACATTCCCAGCCTTGATCTGTTCCGTTTCCTGCCTTATCTTCCATGTCACCCAAATACGTAATGCTTTTTCTTGCATGAGACCTCTGCTCACACAAAGAGGTAACTCCAGGGAGTCACTGTCCAATAGTATTTCTAGTGCTTTAGCCCTTGTCAGTTTCAGAGGTGGTCTCAGGAAGCTTTCAGGGTCCTGGGGTGTCATAAAGACAAGCTTGGATGAAGCAATTATAACAGAGACAGGGACTGACAAATAGCCTTTTTCCTAGGACAATTTTTTTTTCTTTTTTCTTTTTTTGTGATGGAGTCTCACTTCATCGCCCAGTCTGGAGTGCAGTGGCACAATCTTGGCTCACTGCAAAGTCCACCTCCCAGGTTCAAGCAGTTCATCTGCCTCAGCCTCCTGAGCAGCTAGAATTACAGGTGCCTGCCATCATGCCTGCCTAATTTTTGTATTTTTAGTAGAGATGGGATTTCACCATGTTGGCCATGGTAGTATTGAACTTCTGACCTCAAACTATCCGCCTGCCTTGGCGTCCCAAAGTGCTAGGATTACAGGTGTGAGCCACTATGCCCAGTCCCTGGGATGATTATCATAAGCTTCCTTTTAAATAAGAAAGCTAATAAACAGAATTGATTCCTTATGCCTCAAGCTAACCAATATTCTCTCTTCTCCTATTATTATTCATTCCCACTTACTGTCAGGGTCAAATAGAGGGAGAGAAAATCAGTTTGAGCAAGAGATGTCTGCCTTTAGATAATTGTCTTCTCCCACCCTCTAACTGACTTTGAGAGGATAAGTCCTGTGTGCCTACTTTGCTTACTGGGAGGAAAGAGAAAGCAGGGTGGGGGGGTCATTCATGAGACACATGCTTAGCTGACTCTGTCTTTGCCTTCTGTCTCATCAGGGAAAAGTTGGCACACAGAAACAAAGAACTCCTTGATACAGGATAGGGATGCTGCAGCTGCTCGGGCCTGGCCTAAAATGCACACAGTCAATGGTTATGTAAACAGGTCTCTCCCAGGTATGTACACACCTGCTCAACAATCCTCAGGGTCTTCCGAATTCAGCACCAGAGTTCTGTACTTCGGTTCACAGACAGCTCTGCATCCCAGAGGATAGCCCACTGATATTTCAAAATCTGTAACCTCTGGGGATCTTAGAGTATAGTAGACAATTCCTCTTTTGGTCACCCGAAAATGAAGGCTTACCCATGTACAGACAGCCCACAGTCAGATTTCTCTTTCCTTTTGCTTAAATGTGAGTGGGCAACCAATGTTCAGCAAACATTTAAAAAGAACCTAAAATATGGAAGAGATATGCAAAGATGAACAAAGAAGATAATAATCCTACAATAAAAAGAGATAATGCTCAGAAGAGAACTTGTCAGAAGCTCTTATTACTATTTTCATAAAGATTCAAGAAGATACTGCATAAATAAAGTAACATTAAGGTGACTTCCAGTTTTAAAATAGGCGTATAGAGGCAAACTGGGTTTACTTCCTCCCACAGAAAACCAAAGCCAAACATACAGCACCAATATCTACACCAGCAACAACCGAAAGCTCTCATGTGACAATGAGACAGTTCCCAGAGCCACAGACACGTGAAAAAACTTTGAGTAGACAGTAAGAGAATCAGACTTCCACATGACTCTCCTTCCTCCTATTTTTCCTGGCATCAAGTATATGGAAAATCACCCCTCAACTCGTGGTTTTTACAGTGGGAAAAATTAAATTGGGGTGTTCAACCAGCTTCTCCACCTTCTTGGCTTCCCTAGGAGGATATTTGTCCTGGCCTGAAACCACAGAAAGCATCATGACTGTCTGAAGGCAGACATAACCCAGAGGCTAGACAAAGAAATGAGGGAGGAAGGATTACCATCCCCAGCCCTGGAAACTCAGCTCTATGACTCGGCCAAAGGACATGTAAATTCAGAGAGGCCGTTAAGCAGCACCATACTGTAGCAGGTTTATCCTACAGGTCACCTGGGCATGAACCCCAGCCTTCCAATACGGCTAAGATAATCCCTTTGGGACCTCACCCACTTGGGACAGGCAGGGCTCTGACCCACTTACTAGAGCTGAGGCGAACCTGGACTTAGGTGCCACCTAGAGCCAAAAAAAAAAAAGGCAGGGACCTAGCAGGGACTAAGCAAATACATCCAATAAAACAAAAATGAGCTAGACAGAGAAAACTGAAATAAATAACTAATCCTTCAATGTAAATGCATCGATGTTTATCCACAAGAAACAATAGCAAAGAGGGAACCATGAGCTTCCCAAAAAGACAAAGCCAAAACCCAGTGACTGCCCCTAACAAGATAGCGATTTGTGAGCTCTCTGATTAATAATTCAAAGTAGCCATTTTAAGGAAGCTCAATGATACCTAAGATAACACAGAAAAGTGATTCAGAAATTTCTCAGAGAAATTTAACAGAGATTGAAACAATAAAAAAGAAACAAATCTTGGAACTGATAAATGCGTTTGATGAACTGAGTAACTCATAAGAGAATCAAGCAAAGGAAAGAATCAGTGAGCTCAAAGACTGGCTACTTGGAAATGCAGAGTCAGAGGATAAAAAGGAAAAAGAACAGAAAGAAATGAAGATCTACAAGATATAGAAAATTACCTCAAAAGACCAAATCTAAGAATGTTTGATGTATAACAGGGAGCTGAGTAAGAGCAAACAATAACAGAAAACATCTAGATACAAGAAGGTCTTAGAACACGAAACAGATTCAACCCAAATCAGACTGCTCCAAGACAAATGATAATCTAGTTCTCACAAGTCAAGGATAAAGAGAGGACCTCAAAAGCAAGAGATAAGAATCAAATCACATATAAAGGAGCTCTCATTTTCCTGGTAACAGACATCTCAATGAAAACTATACAGGTCAGGATGGAGTAAAACAACATTTTTAAAGTGTTCAAAGAAAAAACCTACAAATTTTCTATCCAGCAGAATTATCATTCAAATATGCCAGAGAGAGAAAGTCTTTTCCAGACAAACAAAAGCTGAGAGAATCACCACTGGACTCATCTTGCAAGAAATGCTAAAGAGTTCTACAATCTGAACAAAAAAGAATACTAACATGCAAAAGAAAATTTTTCAAGTATAAAAACTACTGGTAGGTAAAATTTTACCAGTAGGTAAAATTAAATACATGGACACACTCAGAATACTCTATTATTTGTGGTGTACAATCCACTTATAACTCTAGAATGAAGTGCAAAGGATAAATCTATCAAAACCTATAATAGTTACAGCAACCTATTAGGATATAGGTAATATAAAAATATGCAAATTGAGCAACTAAAAGTCAAAATGTGAGGGGTATGAAGTTAAAGTGTAGATTTGTGTGTGTGTGTGTGTGTGTGTGTGTGTGTGTGTGTTTCCTGCCTTTGTTTCGATTCTTTTTTTGTAATCTAAGATAAGTTTTCATTTCTTTAAAATTGCTTGTTGTATCTATGAGATGTGTTTCGTAAGCCTCATGGTAATCACAGCACAAAAACCTATAAGAGATTCACTAAAAATAAAAAGCAACAAATTAAAACATGTTACCAGAGATAATCACTCAGCCACAAAAGAAGACAGTAAGAAATGAAGAAAGGAAGAGAGGAGTCCCAAAACAACCAGAAAACAAGCAACAACAAAAAAAAGCAGGCTCACGCCTGTAATCCTAGCACTTGGGAGGCCGAGGTGGGCGGGTTACCTGAGGTCAGTAGTTTGAGACCAGCCTGGCTTATTTTTTTGTATTTTTATTAGAGACGGGGTTTCACCATGTTGGCCAGGCTGGTCTCAAACTACTGACCTCAAGCAACAATGTGGTGGAGTCTCACTCTCTCTCCCAGTCAGAAGTGTAGTAGTGATTCTCCTGCTTCAGCCTCCAGAGTAGTTGGAACTTGAATCCGGGAGGCGGAGGTTGCAGTGAGAGGAGATCGAGCTACTGCACTTCAGACTGGGAGACAGAGTGAGACTCTGCCTCAGAAAAAAGAAAGAAAAAGAAGAAAAAAGAAAAGAAAAAAGCATAGAGTGGCTGGATGAATAAAGAAACAAGATTCAACTATATACTGCTTTAAAAAAAACCTTCCACACCAGCAAAGACACACACAGACTGGAAGTGAAAGGAGCGGGAGTAGCTATACTCATGTCAGATGCAATAGGCCACAAATCAAAGACTGGAAAGAAAAACAAAGAGGGTCACTATATAATGATAAAGGGGTCAATTCAGCAAGAGCTCCCAAGTACATAAAGCAAGCATGAATAGATGTAAAGGGAGAGATAGATTGCCATACAATATTAGTAGGGGACTTAACACCCCAGTCTCAGTAATGGACAGATCATCCAGACAGAAAATCGGTAAACACTAAACGCTAGATCTAATAGTCCTAACTGACATTTACTGAACATTTTACCTAACTGCAGCAGAATACACATTCTTTTCATCAGGACACAAAACAGTTTCCAGAATACAGCATATCTAAGGTCACAAAACAAGTCTGTAAAAATTTTAAAAAATAGAAATTGTATCAAGTATCTTTTCTGACCACAGTGAAATAAAACTAAAAATCAATAACAAGAGAAACCTCAGAAAATACAAAAAAACATAAAATTAAGCAACATGCTCCTGAATGGCCAACGGGTAAATGAAGAAATTAAGAAGTAAATTTTAAAATGTCTTGAAAAAAATGAAAATGGAGATACATCACACCAAATTCTAAGGCATACAGCAAAAGCAATACTAAGACGGATGTTTATAATAATAAATGCCTATATAGAAAAAGTAGAAAGACTGCAAATAAACAACGTAATGATGTACTTCAAGGAACTAGAAAGCAAAAAGAAAACAAATTAGTAGAAGGAAATACATAAGGGTCAGAGAAGAATAAATGAAATTGAGAGTAAAAAATACTTAGAAGATCAATGACACAAAAAGTTGGTTTTTTGAAAAAATAAACAAAATTAAGAAATCTTTAGCCAGACTATGAAAAAAAAGACATAAGGATCAAATAAATAAAATCAGAAATGAAAAAGGGGACATGACAACGGAGACCTCAGAAATACACAAAATCATTAGAGACTATTATGAGCAACCATACGCCAACAAATTGTAAAACCTAGAAGAGACAGATAAATTTCTGGATATGTACAACCAACCAACATTGAACCGTGAAGAAATAGAAAACCTCAACCAACCAATAATGAGTAATGAGATCAAAGCTGCAATAAAAAGTCTCCCATTCCGTCCCCCCCAAAAAAACCCAAGATGTGATAGATTCACTGATGAATTCTGCCAAACATTCAAAGGAAAACTAATACCAGTCCTACTCAAACTCTTTGAAACAATTTTAGAGAAAGAATCACTTCCAACCTAATTAAAAATGGCCAGCGTTACCCTCATATCAAAACCAGAGAAAGGCACAACCAAAAAGAAAACTGCAGACCAATATCACTGATGAGCATAGATACAAAAATCCTTAACAAAATACTAACAAACTGAATTCAACAACGCATTAAAAAGATAATTCACCATTATCAAGTGGGATTCATCCCACAGATACAAGAATGATTCGTTGTCACAAATCAATATATGTGATACATCATACTAATAGAATCAAGAACAGAAACCATATGATTATTTCCTTTTTTTTTTTTGAGACAAAGTCTTCGTTGGTAACCCAGGCTGGAGTGCAATGGCGTGATCTCAGCTCACTGCAACCTCTGCCTCCTGAGTTCAAGTGATTCTCGTGCCTCAGCCTCCCGAGTAGCTGTGACTACAGGCAGAGGCCACCACACCCAGCTAATTTTTGTATGTTTAGTAGAGACAAAGTTTCACCATGTTGGCCAGGCTGATCTTGAACTCCTGATGTCAAGTGATCCACCCACCTTGGCTTCCCAAATTATGCTGGGATTACAGGCTGATTATTTCAATCAATTCTAACAAGCCATTTGATAAAATCAACATCCTTTTATGATGAAAACTTTCATCAACATGAATATAGAATAAACATACCTTAAAA